AGCGCTAGCGGTAGCGGTAGCGGTAGCGGTGGCGGTAGCGGTGGCGGCAGCGGTAGTAGTTGTAGTAGTAGCAGTAGCAGTAGTAGTCGTCACAAGTCGTGGATGTCGTGGTCGTAGTCGTAGTAGAAGTCGCAGTGCTAGAAGTGGTGGTAGAAGTCGGAGTAGGATTTGGAGTGGCAGTAGGAGTAGGAGTAGGAGTAGCCGTAGTCGTAGTCATAGTCCTGATGGTCGTAGTTGTAGCGTGGTCCTGGTGGTGGTGGTGGTGGTAGTGGTGGCTGATAGAAGAACGTCGTCATCGTAGTCATCGTGGTTGTTGTCGAGAGTGGTGCGGGGTGGTGGTAGTTTCATTTGAGTCCTTTTGTCACCTCACTTGTAGCTGAGCGCCTCTGGATCAGAGGTTTTCGCACTGATGACATCAGTCTTCATGCAGGATCACGAGGCGCAGCTGTGAAGCAACAGGTTTTTGGTACCGAGACCTGCATGGGATCCTGCCAGCTTCCGCACCTCCGCCCGATGCATTTATGTCCGTCGCTTGTGCAAGGTAGCACCCTTGATGCCCTTGAGAATCTGACAGTAGGCTGCAGTAGGTGGGCTAGCGCGGCCCACGAGTGCATCCTGGTGACCGATGGCAGTCAGAGGGAAGCGGGAGCGTCGGGAGCCTCACAGGCTCTTCGCCTTCCTGGGCCTTCTCGGCCTCTGTCTCGGTGGCGTGAACGTGAGGGCTTTTGTCGGATCTGCAGGAGCCCGAAGTTCGAGTGGCGCTTCTCGTCACCAGCACCGGGCACAGCCAGCCAAGCGAGTGAGTAACGAAGAGGTCAGCGAGGTGAGCCCAGTCTCCTTCTCTGTGATGGTGGGCGGATTCAATTCCTCTTCCTCCACCTCCGGCAAAGCCGCGGTGATTACTGGTGCCTCAACGGGCATTGGCCTTGCCACCGTTGAAGGCCTCGTGCGCTCGGGAATCTACACGTCCATTATCATGGCAGGGCGAGATGCTGAGAAGCATCAGAAGGCCATGGAGATGCTGCGGGAAGAGGTTGGCACTCTTGATCGGGCGGTTGAGCTTCGATACTTACCACTGGAGCTTGCATCGCTGAAGTCAGTGCGGAGCTTTGCCCAGTCCGTCCTGAAGGAAGGGATGCCGATACACACGCTCATCCTGAACGCCGGCGTTATGGCTCTTCCGGATCGCAAACAGACCGAGGACGGATACGAGTATCAGTTCGGAGTGAATCACTTGGGACATTTCCTTTTGGCCAACCTTCTCATGGACAAGTTGATTCAGGGCGGGTCTGCGGCTGATCCTGCTCGTGTGATCTCTTTGAGTTCAAGTGCTCATCAGATTCCATCGAAACTCCTGAAGGGTGACCTTGCAGACTTGCAGTCCTATGGATATTCTGCTTGGGGAGCCTACGGCCAGTCGAAGCTTGCAAATGTCCTCTTTGCGTACGAGCTGGACCGGCGCTGCCGTGAGCGTGGCTTGCCAGTGGTTGCCAACGCAGTCCACCCCGGCGTTGTGAACACCGAGCTGGCACGCTACATGGGCAGTGGCCAGAGCTTGGCCTCGCCTCTGCAGGACGTCGCGAAGGACTTCTTCTCTTACGTGCTCAAGTCGCCGGAAGAAGGTGCCAAAACCTCCTTGGTGCTGGCCACACAGTCAGAAGGCAAACTCTCGGGCCGCTACTGGCAGGACGGCCGCCCGACTGCTTCCGTAGACTTCGATCCTGCTGGTGATCTCCCAGGGCCAGCACGGCAGCTTTTGCCCTTTCGGCCCAAATTCACTTCCTACGACCCCAAAATCTGGGCAGAGCTTTGGGCTGAAAGCGAGCTCCTCGTAGGGCTTCGGCCGGAAGACGTGAGTTGCTTCAAGGCCGACTGAGGAGAGGGCTTCCGCGGGCAAGTACAGCCGCCCGTAGAAGTTCCTGGTAGGGCACACACACCTAAGGTGCTGTGTCCATTACTCTTCCACCACCCATTTTCCTCCCGACGGGAGCCAGTTTTCGCCGTTGTGACAGATGTGGTGCTTGTGCACAAACCGAGACGAGGTGCAGCCCTCGGAGAAGTGAAGGTAAGGAAGTGCGTCAAATACCCCTGAACCGGCAGCAAGGCAGACCTTGCCAGTAGCCGTCATTCCTTTGAAAGTGTGAAGAAGCTAGAGCAGCCAGGCTTCTCTCCCGATTTGCATGGCCGGCCTTTCATGGGGCAGTGCATCTGGGCTGAGATGAGCCGATGAGCAGTGCTCGGCCTTCCCTTTCTTGATCTCAGAGGTGTCTATGTTTGCAAGCATGATGCAGACTGTTGTGTTGCAAATGCGCGGACCTCAGAGGACGCGATTCGGGATGCGCCTCAGCGGCCCCCCTGTCAAATCCAAGGTGTGTGCTCCCCATGTATGGGGAGATGCGAAACCGATCACCAGGCCTTCAAACGAAAGCTCGGGTCCTTCTGTTAGAGTGCATAGCTCCTCTGCCCTCTTCAGGCGCCTTCGCGAAGGTCGTTTACTGGGGCTTCGCGGTGCTTTTCATCGTTTGCCGCCCGGCCGCGAGTCGTTTGGGGAACTGCGCCGACTCTTTCTCGTCGTGGGCGAGACCTGGGCTCTCCTTGCCAGCCTTGCCAGGTGCCAGCTTCGCTCTGCTGGGGTACTTCACCTTCGGCTGGGGCCCAATCGCAGAGTCCTGTTCTGCTCTTTTCGAGTCTTCGCTCATCCGTCATGTCCTGGCTCGTTATGAGAAGGAACTCGGAATCCCCAGAAGGCACTATGCCGTTTCGAACGTTTTGCGTGCTTAGTGGGCACCTGAAAGCTGCTTTTGTGTCAAGCTGCTTAGGCTCTGCAGTGAAATCGAACGTCCTGCTTTCACTTCCTACAAGCCTCCAACTTGGTGCAGAATGGCGCTTTGCCAGTGGCGGTAGAAATTTCACGTCACGCCGGTGCCAAGTCTGAGGCCGTGCCGGCAACTTGGCCCGTCTGTGCGCAGGGGTGTGGCACTTATTTCTGTGTGAAACCTGATCAACCTTATGAACCCGGCTTGTGCTGGGTGCAAGGCCAGTGTGGTGGGAGCCTGCTGCTTAGATTCGTCCATGCCTTTCCTGCCGTTGGAGGCGTCTCACGAAGGCTGAATCCCGGCGCCAGGTCTATCCCATCATATTAAAGCCGATGATTGCGACCTTGTATCGACCAGGAATCTGCTCGGAGTTGCTGCACTTGGGTTTTCAGAGTCGCCAAATCCATGCAAGGAGAAGGGCACGATGGCTTGACAACCCATTGGGCCACAGGCTGACGTCTCAGAATTCTGTTTGGATAAGTGCTACTTGCGCAGTGTAGCTGGGACATCATTGGACCTACCTCAAAATATAGTCAGCAAGTGACTAAGCCAGGCTCTGTGGTCGCAGGTGTCAGAACCTCGGTGCGTGCTCCTTGCAGTAAACAAGCGGCCCAAGAACGCGGCGAGGTGATGATGGCATCTTTAGTTCTTTCCGATCTCGGGAAGCTCAACATCTTCAACGGAGCTGTGTCTATGGGTGCTGTGGCCAATTTTGCTTAACTCGTCCGTGGACACATCCTTCTTCCATGGCTCAATGTCGGCCGCCCGTTGACACTGAGGTGTCTTCGTAGCCATCGTTCCCTTCTTGGTCGGGCGGGGCCCTGAGGTTCTGATGGCAGCGCGGGATGGACAGTTGGCAGTACTCAAAAATACTGAGAGGGCTCGCAAACTGGATATCCTGCGTAACATGGGGAACGGGAAAGAAGAAGAGAACGCGGAACTTCATCGGCCCAAGTGGCTCGCAGCAGAGGCGAACTCTGGACGAGATTCATTCCACTGCAGTGTTCGCAAAAACCCGAAGATGGAAGATTCAGATGCCGGGGCCAAGGCTTTCCCGGCCGCTCAGCGTGTGAAGGACGAAACTAGTTGATTCAGCTCAACATTGCAAGCTAGCCGAGAATGCCGGAGCAGAAGGTGGCTTTTGACTTGACACATCACACAACGATCTTTGCGAAATGATATGCGGATATGCAGCCTCAACGCGAGCTCAATTTTTAGAGGTCGCAAGAGAATTTGTGCGTAAAGGTACAGATGATGACGGTGTGCTGCGGCAACTCCGAGCGATTACCTTCGTGCGAAACATCAATGGGCAGCCTCATGAGTGGCTTTTTGAAAACCATTCTTACTGTACGAGATTGTACGAGCTGGAGTACGTAATAGTAGCGACATGTCTTTCGGCTCCCCCGATTACTATTATCCGATGGTTTTCCTCTTGCAAATAGTGCGTTGCACTTTTCAATCGCAGCCGGCTGTGCAAACGTCAACCCAATCGTTCAGAAGAGACTTGCTTCACCTGCCCAGCTCGCAACTGCATCACTTCAGTTGCTCAGCTAGCAGGTGCAACCTTCTCCAGCGCTTTCAGCAAGCAGAATCGGCTAAGTTGGTGCGAGCCTCAGTCCGACCAGGCCGGAGGATGGTGGATTTGCACAATTTTGCACTGCAAAGACGGCAACTGACGGGATGCAAGTAGCAGGTGCATACAAAAGTCATGCGATGCATGCGTCATCGGTGAGTGGTCTCCAAGGCCTTGTACGTACTGTTGGTTCTGGGATTGATTGGCAGCGTGCTTGCCCTCATCCTCGTACATCCCTTACTGGCATGTTCTGATTTTGGACGACCTTTTCACGGGCATTTGCACCATCAGCTGGTGTCCTCAGGATGACAACTATGCCAAGGAGCTTGCATCTGTGAAAGCCCTAGCGAGGGCTGTAGGGGCAGAGACAAGACAAGAGATATGACCCCCCGTCGCCTAGGTCTGTGCGTGGCCAGCCGCGAAGCTGTCTGCCCAATGAGGACGGCATGAACCTCAATGCCTCGCCAAGAACTGGTAGGAGTCGTGCCAACTCGCGCACGTCACTCAGGCACTTGGTCTTCCTCGCCCTTCCTGTTGAGCAGAGGGTCTCGAAGTTAGTGCTTGCCATGTGTCTCACTCAGCTTCCCGCTAAAGATGCAGCAAACAAGACGGCAAGTCCCAGACGTGGAAAAGCGCCGGTGGTATGTGTGTTACAACTGAGTTGCCGGCGCATGCAGGAGGAGTTTCATTCAGTCCAAGCCTAAAGACGCCCGTGGACAAGCCTAATCAAGCCTCCATTTTCTTTGCGACCATGACTTTGATGCCTGTTGAAGACCTTTTGCCATAGAGGTCGCATCCATTCGTGCCTGCGCATGCGTTTCTTGCTTCAGATTGCGAGAGTGCCGAATCCTTGGCCTCTCAACGTCAACTTACGTGCCATGGCAGAATTACTTGTGCCATGTCTGGGCTTGGTTTGAGAGTTTGAGATTCGATGCCTGCATCCGGGAACCCAGCAGGCGACCTTACTACGCGATGAGGACAAGCATAGCAGCATAGCAGCCTCGCAGGGAGCCCGCTCAAACGCCTTTGCAGGACTACTGCTAACGAACCCTGGAGTGCCCTACTTGCCACTCGCTCAATTCGTCCTGTGAGATTAGGATTCTCGGGTGAAGCTTCAGGTTCGGGTTCAGGCCTGAGGGTCATGGGGGATCTTAGGGGCCTTTTGGAATGCTTGTTGTGGGCCCGAGGTGGTCTCTTTGTGCAGGCTTCGTTTGCTTTTCGGGCTTGTGAGCGCCTTGTGTGTCAGGGTCATTGCACAGGATGTGCAGTAGGTTTCGGGATCAGGGGACGGTTTAGGCCTGCTTGAGGGGGTGGCAGGTTTGTGCGCAGCTGCATTGGCTTGACGAGTCGATCATGTTTTGAACGCCTAAGTGTGTGGTTTCACAACGGCGCGCATGGTTTTTGCCACAGGTTCCGAACTTGCCAGTCTATTGATATACAGTACATACATTCAACTTCATCGCATAACATTGCGCTACCTTGCCTGACATTGCATGTCCTTGTGTTAGATTGAATTACACTGCAGTGCATACATGCTACTGTCATGCATGCATACATAAATACATATATATATATATACACACATACATACACACGCGCAGACACACCTACATGTATACGTACATACTTACGTATACCCGGGTTACATGGGTGCATACATACATGTATGCATACATACACTTCTGTACATATTCCATGTACACAAAGGTGTGGAGACATGTTTGTGTGTTGAGAGCCTGATGTATACTGGCATCGAGCAATCGCTCGATTCAGCAGTCCTATTGATATGTATAGGCAAAGAGAAGGACACGTTTATTGGCCCACAGTTCTGTGTCAACCCTTAATTCCGTCTCCGTCGGAGGCCTTTGAATCCCTTTGAGACATTGGGCTCAGATGCTGCTCCAGGGCTTTCCTAGTGCTGTTAGTAGCCGGTTGCTAGTTCTACACAAGACAGGTCGGCGGACATGGATAGGTGCAGTCGTGTACATGCAGATCTACCAAGCGTGTGGCAAGGTTCTCTTGGCAATCAGCCGTGCTGCAGCTGACAGCTCCTGCAGCTTGCCTGGTTTCCAGGAGCAGCGGCATGGCTGCATGCTCCGCAACCGCCACGACAGAGCTTGTGTGGATGTGGCACTGAGAGCAATGTCACCTGAGGAAGGCACCGGTCCTCCTCCAACTCGCTGCCTCCGCGAGCGCACGAAGTGCCGAGGGATCTCTGACAGACCGTTCGGGGCTTACTTACCGGAGAGGTTGGGCTTTAAGCAACATGAAGCCGGTAGATACAAACGTAACACTGAGAAGATGAGGCCTCTTTGTAGCTGGTGATGCTGCCGTTCAGAGCTTATGCACCACTGTTCACTTCACATGCCATGAGCATGCAAGTGGGGTGCCTGTGGGCATGTAAGCTGTCTTGCCCAGGGGCGCGGGGCGACACAGCTTGGCCCACCGGCCATTGCGATGCAACTTAGTTGAAAGTGAGCTGTGAAGCGACTGCAGCCTACTTTGCCAGCACATGTGTTCTGTGGCGGCAGCCGCAGTTCCTTTCAGCATCCGGGGCAAGGTCGGCCATTGCATTGGCGCAGCAGCTCCTTTGGGGCCGGCACGAGGACCTCAACTGTCTTAAAAGCTCTGCTCTGACGCTGCCTTTGATTTTTAAGGAGCTGCAATCCCCAAGGCTTCTGCTACAGATGCAGGAGGAGGCCGCAATCCCATGATCACATTCACACGAATCTCACTATCGAGCCTCAAGGTTCAAGACCATGTGGTGACCTCGCAGCCGACATCTGCGGGCTCCGACACCGCTCTGGCCCTGTCGGCCACTTATCGACTACCTCCTACATGTTGCTGCAAGATGTTGCTTGTCCTTCTTCTTGCGTCTCTCAAGAAAGCAAGCCGGCTCCAGGTCGGTCATTGTTGGTGTGTGCTTGCCTCAAGCTGATTCCTGATGCACAACATGCAGTTTGGAAAATCACGAAAGCCCGTGTATGCACGGCCTATCGCGGCCAAGCCAAGCAGTGGGTGTCGCAAGTGCCATGAGCTGTTTCGGTCACTTGCGGGTTCCCTCTTCCCTCCAGCTCACTAAAAACTAACGCTGCGCATCGCAGTAAAGCCTGCGAATCTTACAAGTTTAGACACTTCTTCTCCTGCCTAAGGGCAGCACTGGTTCTTGCCATTACCATTGTGGCCTGCCTGGTCACCTACCAGCCCAAGCCAGATTACAGCGATAACGAGCTGGGACCCTGGATTCTGTACAACTTGTGCTAGTCGGGTACTCAGCGGTTCGCGAATGCTGGCAGGCAGGCTATCCTAAGAACGAGTCTGCAGCAGCAACAGCAGGAGAGGATGAGGTGGTGCCCCCGTTGATCTTGTGTCGTGGATCAAACCGCTGCAGTTTCCTTCCAATGAGGCTCGAAGCAAGGCAAGAAGCATGTGCGTGCTGATCGCGCAGAACTGATGTCTGAGTTGTGCATAGGTTCGCATGACATAGATCAATTCAGTGCTGCACCGCAGCATCACGTGCTGGTACACTGCCGGGCATGGTTGAGCATGTGGGATCACGCTGCTATTCGATGTACTGCCAGTTCCTTGCTTTGTCCCAGATGCGAAGCCAAGATGGTGTGACTCGTGCTTCATTGGCAGATCGAAAATATGAGTGTCTGTGCCTGCACAAGATGTTTCTTTTACATGGCCGCTTCCACCCAAGACGACCACGTAATTCTGCACTGGCCCAGGGACGCTAACACATGCCAGAAGACAGGAGTATGCGTTGATCGCACTTTCAACTCCATATATAATTTTTTAACAGCACTCCGCAGGCACCAACGAGGCAACACAAGGTGAAAGTTGACCCAGGATTGGCCGTGGCCGCAGACACGCGCTTACCGCAAGGCGTAACACAGCTGTATGGCGTGATCGCCCCTTCTGCATATGAGGCCAGCGTCAGCATCATGTGGTGATGCCGTGGCTCATAGATGCAGCAGCTTGTACAGGGTCTAAGCGAAGTCCAGAATGCACGCCGGCGCTTCACCCTGATTAGGGCGCATTTGAGCATAAGCGGTGTTAGGAGCACTGAGCATTCTTCACTGAATCGACTAACATGTAAATGCCGTATGCGGCGGCCTCGGTTGTGGCAGGAGAGTATGGGCACTTGGACAGCCAACCTCTTCCAGAACATTCTCGAGCCTTGCTTAACGCTGTTGCCCGTTCGGCCTGTAGGCGACCCGGGGGTTTACAATGTACAAAATCGACGGCCAAGGACTCGCGGCGGCAGAAGTATGGCGACGGGAATGCCAAAACCCTCACAAGCATGACACACATGGGTGGCATCCTTGAGAAACGAGGCGAGCAGACCTGCTTGTTCCTGATGCGAACGGTATCAAGCCTCTGCACGTTGCATCGCTGCAGGCCAGCTCAACGACGCCCTAGATCACTATGGTGAAGCGATGCACTATCGGAGGGAGGCGGCTGGGTTCAAGAGGTTTTCGTCAGTGAGCCCGGTGACCTGGTGGAGGTGCTGGGAGACAAGCATCCCAAAACTTTACAGAGCATTGGAAAGATGGCTCCTCGGTCAGCGATGTCGGACTTCTGCATGCCCTGAGCTACATTCATGTTAACGGCCCTTGATGCCAAGGCTGCCATGTGCAAACAGCAACCTGCCAGCACGGACAAACGAGTTTATAGCGGCATGGCATTGCATCCATGTCGCCAGACTAAGACCTCAGCAGATTTCACTCACCAGAGTGCCAGTTTCATGCAGACATGATATGACACCAACTACACCTTGTCTCGGAACTTGTTGGCGAGGCATGGGCAGCACTATGAGGCTCGGTCAACGCAATGTGCAAGATACTTCTTGAGATGTAGCAGTTGGCTTCGTGATTGTGATGCATCTCCCCGGTGCGACCACTTGCAAGCATCGAGCTCTTGGCCGTTCAGGCGCAAATCCTAGCACAAGAAGCGCTCTTCGGCTCGCGCAAGATGTTCGGCGAGCAGGTATTCTGCTGATCTCCCATCCCTGTCTGCTCCCCAGTGTTCAGCTCGGACACGCACAAGTGCAGTTTGTGCAGGCACCCGACACGTTGGATGCGGTCAACAACCTTGGGGCAGTGTGGAAGGCAGCATCGACTTAGCATCCGTGCGCATGTCAGTGCACTCGGCGTGTTGATCATCGTGTTGGAAAGAGTCGTATGCTTTTGATGCAAAGGACGGCCTTTCTGTGTGTGCTGCTGTCATTTGCCGATAGGCGCAGGGAGAGTTCAAAGAAGCGGAGAAATGCTTCAGGGACGCGTACAAGAGGCGCCAGGAAGCCTAGATGCAGACAGCAACTTCTTGTGCCTTTGCCTTCGTTTGTTGGTGGCCTCATGTTTAAGCAGGTGGTGCTTGGCCTGGATCAGATAAGGAAACTCTCGGACCGAAGCACCCGGATACTCTCACAAGCTTGAACAACTTGGCCTGCACTGTTGATGAGCTGGGGAATGCCAAGGAGGCTGGAAAACTGTATCAGCAGTGTCTAGAGACCCGGAGAACTGTCCTTGGGCCCTCTCACCCTGACACCATGACGAGCATGAGCAGCTCTGCTGCAGTCTGTCGTGTGGCATGGAGCTTCTGCCAGTCCTGTGCTGCTGGGCCCTTTCTGCTCCAAGGTAACCTGGCACTCTTTTTGCGTGCCAACGGGCAGAGGCTGGAGGCAGAGGCGCTCCTGGCGAAGGTGCTGGACGGCCGTCGCAAGATCTTTGGCGTCAAGCACCCAGATACCATCATCAGCATGAACAACTGCGCGGCCATTGCGAGCGACGCTCGTCACAAGTGTGGTGCAGCCTTCAACATCCCTTCCACGCCCGCGTAGCGGACCTTAAGTTCGTTATAGTCGCAGCCGAGGATGAAGTTCAGGAGCCTCGAAGCAATGAGAGGGAAGGCATCTGCTGCAGCGACAATGACAATCCGTGCAGAAAGTGAGGACTTTCGAGAGAGCAATGACACCCTCGAGTTGAAGAAAGCCTTTGAGAAAGCCCATGCTCTTCTCAGAGAGGCCAGCGGCGAGTAGAACCCCGAAGTTGCTTTGCCCCTCCCCTCCATGTCCAGCCCGTAGCAGCCGTAGCACACTTTAGGTGGGATCTTGATTCCTCGACGTTCTTCGCCCATCTGCCGAGCAGTTTCTATATTCTAGCAGACTTTTCTTGCTCAAGGGCAAGAAGGTCAGACTTCCCACTTCATGCTTGCCGCTAGGCAACTAGGTCCGGTTCGGCAGGCCTGGTATACCCTGTTAATCGACATCTGCTAAGCTCCTGCAGCATGTCCGATGCATTCATTCCTGCTAAATTGACTCACGCTGCGGGTTGTGATTGTGCCCGTTGCGAAGGCAGTGGCTGCTTCTCAGAAGAATTTGGGCAAGCGACATCCGCTTGCACTGTCGCTGGGACAGCAGCATCCGCAGTCTGTTGCTTTCTGCGGGCATCTCTTCATGCGCTGTGTGTGCAAACAGGATGAGTTTCGACCGAGGAAGAGTATGAACAATCTCGCTGCTTTGACCAGTTATGGAAGTCGACCGTTCTGCACGTGCTTTTGCACCAGATCCGAGTAGTATGGATGCGCATACAGCAGTGCCATGCTGCTCAAAGCACGCACTTGCGTCTCAACTGACCGTCGATGAATGCAGTAGATGGTAAGGCTGGTTTGCTCCGCGACAATGGGAATCTCGAGGAATCTGAGAGGCTTTATGAGAAGGTGGTGGCTGGCATGCGGTCATCTCAAGGCTTCTATCATCTGGTGGCTGGGCAAGAGTATGAGCAATGGTGTGTGTGTGTGTAACTTTGGTGGTTCGCATTCTGCAAGTTCACATGTTTGCACCCATGTTGAGACAACGTTAGTTTGTGATGGGAGATGTGCGGTAGATGAAGTACCGAGCGATGCCTTTGCTTTCTTTTCGGAGATGTGGCATGTAGTAATTAGAAGGAAGCCGACACCCATTCACCAAGAGTGTGGCCTTGCCGGCAATGGCTACGCGTATTGTCTCTGACATGAGCTGCTTTATTGATTATTGCCTCCTGTGACTCTTGAAAGCCGTCGCGGATGCGGCCGCTCCTCTTCAGTAATTGATGCGAATTGCTGCTTTTTTAGCTTAGGACACTTTGACGGCCATCAACAACCACGCGGGTGTGCTTAGACTCCAGGGTGATGCCGGCCGCCAAGTTGTCTTGCCTTGTTGCGCAGCAATTGAGTTCGAGTCGTCCAGCAAAAACGCACTTAGTCAGGCAGTTCGAGCGGAAGGGCTCTACAAGGACTTCTTTTGAGGGGCCACGTGCAATCCAGTCACACCTTGGCATTGCGCAGATGCTGCCTCGAAGCGCCACAGAAGTACTCTACGAGCGATAGTGCAGGAATCGCACCGCATCTTGTGCTTTTTCCCATCTCCAACACCTTTCAACCATTCAGCTTCAGTGCTGCTGTGCTTGGTACTGCCTTTCGTTACGCTTGTGGCGATTATGTGGTCGGAGTGTTGTCTGGGTCTGCTGCCTTCGCCCGTCCATCGCCGAATGCTTCGTTTAGTCTTGGCTGTATGACATGAAGGAAGCATCCGAAGGTATCGTGAAGAAGCTCGGGGACGCACACCCAATAAGCCAGCACCTCATGACAGCAAGCATCATATAGATCAGACAGCTTGTTGGAGATGCAGTGGGGACGGCACCTCAAGGGATTAGGACTGGAGTGGAGCGTTGCTGGAGGCTTGTCTACACTCTACAACTGGGCGTTGACCTTGGACGCTCTAGGCCTTTTTGCTTTGTTGCACCGTCCAACAGGGGGATGCGGCCCTGAGGTCGAATTTCAGGCGTGTTGTGCGATGTGTGTGCCTGTCAGGGGACTTCGAGAGCGCTATCCCGCTGTACCTGCACCACTTGGAGCATGGGCAGTACACTCCAGAGTCAGCGGCCCACACTGCAAAATGCAAACAGGGCGCCCAGCTTACGAGTCAGGCAACGGATCGCAGCGGCCCGCCAGCTAAGCGAGCGCCTGCGAAGGGCCGGCAAGCTCGATGAGGTCGGTGTCTCGAGACGGGCCCCAAAAGACCGTAGAAGTTGCCCAACCTAACGCAGCAAACTCCACAAGAAACGTGCATGCGGGGAGTGCTTCAGATTTCGGGTTTTCTCGGAAAGCTTGGGCCGCGAGACGGATTATCCGCGAAGCCTTCTCCAGACTCAATGACGACCTTCTCTGTTTGCTTTCACTTCAGGACCTGAGTTCCAATCGTGGCATGTTGACATCAAGTTGATCTAGGTACTCGTAGGTTGGAAGCAGGAAAGGCATGGAACTAAGAAGAGCAACTGTCAACTCAGTGTAGGCCCTCTGTTGGGACTCCAGTGTTGCATGCTTGCGAAAACGGCGCAAAGCTTAAGCCAGCGGTGAACGATGGATGAGCTGAAGCGTTTGGGAGACACTGCAGCAGCGTGTAAAAGTGTGTTGGCTTGTTCCGGCGAAGAGACAGTTTGCTTCTGTGCCTCAGGCTCGGGATCTCCGACGGCGCATGAATATCCGGTAGTTGCATGAGAAGTAGTAGGCGGGCAAAATCTAAAATGCAGGACATGAAGAACGGCTTTATCATACTGCATCATGGCAGAGTGCGCACAACGCCCTACGAAAGAAATTCGCACATTGAGCCGGCGAGGCTTATGATGCTTCTTGGCACTAAGTGCCAGGCATGGCGGCACGCGCAAAGCATAGTCATTTCCCTTCTCGATAATGCAGCTCAAAAGATCCAAGCACTATATTCGAAAGATTTCGAAAGAGTGTGCATGAAATTGGAAAGTACAGAGCAGCTTTCTTGTCGGATTAGGAGAAGAGTTATCGTTGAACGGGGAAGGGGTTATGCTAGCATGAAGACCGACATTGAACGGCAAAGCCGTTCTTCCGTCGCAGAAGCGTCAAAACATAGCAAGCATGCGAAAAGGCGATTCCTTATCATCCGAAGCTTCATGATGTGTCAGATGCAAGGATTGCCTTGATTGGTGCCCATATGCTGCCAGTGGCTCAACTGTAGAGCCTCATCTTATGGCGCTGCAGCAACTCTGACGAGCTAGGACCGCCTTTGGCTCACTAGTGACACTAGGGCAGATACGGAAGTGTATTGGAATTCCTCCACACCTGTTAGTGTACAGAATCTTTAACTCTATATATATATATATATACACACACACCTGTCTGTGTATGTATGTATATACATATATATGTATATGTATTCACACACCCTGGATATATGCCGTGGACCCAAGTCACTTTGGTTCCCTTTGAGAAGCCATTGGAAGGAAAGCCGAGCGCCTCGGAAGACGCATCTTCTGGTGCCTTGGATGTCCGTCGGATCTGTTGCGAGAGTGGTTGCATTCCCATGGTGGGCTGTTTCAGATCGCATGTCATCCTGTGAGGATGCGCGGTTGCACCTTATCTTTCCAGCGCCTGCGCAGGCAGCGTGAAGATGTCATCACAGAAAGCTGAAATCTGAAGTGGAACCAATACGGCATGAAGTGGACTAGAGCTGCAGGGTTCCAACAACGATCGGGAGATTGACAAATGAAATTGAGGAAAGCCCGTAGACCGACTCGGGAAAGCATCTGGGGATTCAGAAAACGACAAAGGGAGTGGCTGCGGTAGAAATCGGTGCCGAGAGTGGGTTCCTGGGACAGATCATAAGCACCCAGGCTCACCCAGGGTCGGGTCATCTTCCATAAGTCCCGGGACCTTTCTTCCGAGAACCACCGGCTCAGGGGGCCCTTTGTGAAATACTGATTTGGACAGCGAAAAGGGCGTGAATGGTTTAGGGCTAAGTTTCTGAGTTTTGTTCTCGCGGTGTCCGAGCCAGACCTTGGTTTCTTCAGTTCTAGCTTTTTTCTCTGAGCTGGTACTCTTTGTTTTCCGACGGTGTCCGCAGCCTGAACTCGACATGCAACTACCATCCATTCCCGGGAAGCTTCACTCACATGCATCCATGCCGTAGTGACACTCCAATGCCAATGCTGACAACCGAAACTAAACTAGAAACCATCTGACAGACTCTTCAGTTCTGTTTATCAACTAGACGAATTAAATTCCAAACTGTTAAAACCCACGAGCCCGAACAAAAGCGTACATCGCCAAGCCCAAACTGCGCCTCAAACATGTAAGCTCAAACGAACCTTCAAGCTGTTGGAGCCTCCGTTAGTCGCTACAACCAGGGTTTAGGGTTTAGGGTTTAGGGTTTAGGGTTTAGGGTTTAGGGTTTAGGGTAGGCTCCCCAGAGTTTCCTGTGACGCGGAGGCCGCTGCTCCTTGCCCTCGCGGCCACAGGGATCGCTGGGGCTGCAGTGCCGGAAGGCTCCCTTCATTTGGGTGGTTGTCAAAATTATGGTCCCTTTTTGGGTCCGTAATATAATACGGCACCTAATATTTAGGGTACCCAAAAAGGGACCCCAATTTTGACAACCACCCATTTTGTAGAGCGTAGAGCGTATAGTCAACCGGGAAATAGGTATCCGATAGCACATACTGTAGTGGTGAGGGCCTGAGGTCGAATGCGTGCTTTCAGGTTTATACATATTATACATATTTATACATGCGCATCACAGGGAGTCCCGGAACTAGTTCGCTTGATGGGGCCCCGATTGGCTTACATGGCGCCTTTTTTAAATAAGTGAGGCAAAGGTCCTACCGGACAGCGTTGAGCTGTAGATAGTAGGATCGTGACAGACATGCTGCATGTATCAGATGTGCCTCTCGGTTTTTTATGCACACAGCAAAAGTTGGGAAAGTCCTTCCCAAGTTCCTCGCGTTAGATGCGTCGAGACAAGAATGAAAGAGCACTGATTTAACAATGAAAACCTGGCATCCGGTTCCTGACATCCTGACATGACTCTTCCAACAAATGCTCTCAGAGAAGTGTTCACGGCAGTGTCCACAGGTGTTCCTTTGATGAGTCCTGCCGCTGCTCTAGCACGCAACGACGAATTCAAAATGAGTTCTGGAGTCTGAGCACTTGTGTCCCCTCATCAAACTGTATTTGCCACCGAATGTTGCATCAGTTTTTGCAAAAACTCTGTGTACCGTGACTGTTCTTGGTCTTGAATCTCATGTCCCTGCGCTGGAAGGCGTAGCAAAACCCATACCGTCGTGTGTGGACCTGAGGGGCCATTGCCCATGGCAACATCTGCTGAGTCAGCACGAAGGAATATTTGACCGGAGCATCAGTGGTTAGAACAGTCCAGGTCCTGCCGATGTCGAGCAGGGCATGGTTGCAGGCCGGCACGTCCTTTGGGGGATGTCTCAGAGTAAAGGTCGGCAGCGGGAACGGGTCACGAATACTCGGACCTTCCATTTGGGCTGGCAGAAGAGCCTTGGGCTTCGTTACACTACTGGGGGCAGCTTCGGTAAGTGCGTGCAACAAGACTCTCTGCGATGAACGACACAGGGCTTGCTTACACCTGCATGGATGCAGAGCAGGCGATGACTCCGGAAGCACTGGCAAAAGGCACCGAACAATTTTGCCGAACAGACTCCTGCCGAGTCCGAGCCTGTGCGCAGCGAGTAGTTCTCCGCAGGCCATCCGTGCTCTTGCAGATGACGTCACCGCGGCACCAGGCTGCACCGGTACACGAGGATTCCGAGGACAAGCGGCAGTAAAACGGCGAAGTGATGATGCTTCTGGCTGTGTAGAAGCTGCCACGACGAGGAGGATGATCATATCTCTGGTCCAGCCGGAGAAGCTCGAGAGGTTCGGCTCGGATGTGTAACGTTCAAGTCTGTCATGTTTTGGTTCAGCCCACAATGAGGCTGGTCGAGCGACAGAAAGGCAGCTGAATTTGTCTTTCGGTCCTACTTCTCGCATCGCGTTATGCCTTGCCGCGTTGCTTTCAGGTCCTGGAGCTGGCCGCTGAAGGAGCCCATCGCGCGATACTGGGCATCGTTCCTCGTCTCGCAGATGGCGCCTAGGGTCCTCGGGCGAGTTGTTGTTCCACTCTTTGAGGAGGACTGGTGTGGCTTGTGGCAGTGCTGATTTGCAAGCGGGTTTTGCTGCGTTCTGCTTGTCAGGTATCCTTACGCCAGCCTAGGCAGGGCCGGGTCCAAGGGCTGATCTGACTCTCAAAAATTCGATTTCCATGGCTGGAAAGCTAATTTGAAAGCCGACACTCTGCTTGAATCGTGGCTTCAATGATAGCCCATCGGTGCAGGGCACTTGTCTGACTCCAGCATGCTGGTCCTGCCCGCCGTGGCCCTTATATCCGTTGTCTTCAGCTGCTCAGTCGTCGTACCATCCTCAGTCCTTTTCGAACCTGTTGTAAGCTAAGAGACAACCTGCACCTCATGATCCAGGTGTGCTTCGTGGCATCATATCGACCACGGCGAGGGAAGAGCTTGGACTCGCAGTTTGAACCGGCCTCGAGCCGGCCCCAGTTGGCACTCTGCAATTGCACTCTGTCCCTGCTTCTTGCTCTCTGTGCGTGCTGGTATCTTCTGATCTCTTTTTCTTGCTTGGCTGGTGCCTAGATTGGATTTATTGCCTTGTTTTAGCAGGTTGGGGCTTCCTCCGGGCTATGGCTGCAAGCCATTCTGGCTAGGGTCCCGAGCTCAGCCAGCTTTGTGTAACCGGTGTAGCCGCAGCTCCTTCGACAAGCCTCGCACACACACAGAGAGCTAAGGACATAAGTTGAGCTTACCTTGCCGCGAGCAGGCACGTTCGTCAACCTGCTCTAAACGATGGGTTGGTTTTGACCGTCGCAGAGTCCGATTGCATCCGGCTGCAACAGGCTTTCGTACTGGGCCCAAACCGGCAGGCTGCGAGGGTAGACTTCACACATATTTCAGCCAAAGCAAAGATCGCCTGGATTAACATCCCTTATGCCTGTGCTGGAGAGGTACATCGCTTGATGAGCATACGTTCGAGCACGACAAGCTTGGAGAGTAGTGCGCCTGAGAGGTTTCCATGCTCATGGAGGAAAGTGGCAAGCAGCAAGACACGCGGTTCAATTACTGTACCAGACGCATTGGTCGACAGCCAGTGTGAGCTCATGGGTTTAAAACACGCATCCTTTGCCATGGGGACAGCACGCAGGCCTTCTGTGCAAAAAGAATGAAACCTCGAGGGCCGTTTCATGACCTGCATCTCCTTTTCAACTCGTTCAAACCTGTAGACTAGTAGCAGCCAATTCGGATATGCAAGCCAGTTACAGCAGTGCTGCCTCAACTGGCCGAATGCTGTCGAAGCCTTGTGACAGAAGCCCTGCGGGCAAGGTGAGCCAGGAGTGATATGTAAGCCGTCATCGCAAGAAGCTTTGCTGCGGGATGAGGTTGCCAAACGGTTGTGAGTTTCTGTGACTCTAGGTTGGAGTTCTTTGCAGATGTCCGACAGTCCAACCCGAGTCACAAGGATCATTTGCCAGAGTGTGTTTGGGCCACTCTGCTGAAAGAGTCCCAGATGTCTTTGGTGCCCGCAGATAAATGATAACTCTAGCGATTGACCATGGGACTCAGGGCCGAGAGACCGACTGTGGTGCTGTAGGGTTGCTATGACTCCTATGATCCTATGATCAAGACAGTCGCGCAGCCCTTGAAGAGGGTCTCAAGAGCCACTGGCCTGGCCCAGTCGCACGTTCCGGTTCGCACACTGTCGTGCAGTGTTCGTACCCACGACAAGAACCGAGTCCCGGAGGTCAGTGAGCGGGCATAGAGCAAAGAGGCCGTGGTTGGCACAAGGCGCATCCCGCGGGAAGATACGGACATGAAGTTGCATTCTGTCGTGATGCGACTCACTTGCCTCTCAAGCTCTACTTTGTGAGCAGAGCATCCAATGTTCTGCGAACAGCTCCGATTTTCAGCCAAGCCCCACCTGACCAGTGGCCAGATTAAACATGATGCAAGCAGCAGCATCCTGATGTGAGCATCATGGGCGCCGGTGCCATCTACGGCTTCATCGAGGTGGAATGCGGAGCCAGAAGTGTACTGCGTGGTTTGAGCCTGAGCCAAGTCCAGGCGGATGCGGGTCAGAGAGTGGTGTCCTTTTGCGGGCCCTGTGCTGCCACACGTTTGGCCGGGCTCTTGGGGCTTTTGGGGTCTTTTGTCTTTTGGATGCTTCCGTGTTCGTCGAGCTCGTGGAGCCGAGGCCACTGCATCTTCAGGCTTCTTGCCCGGGCTGTCCTTCGAAAACCTGAGAGCAGCCTCAGCCCAGCTGGCATGGACCAGGCTACCTAACAAGCCCTGGTGATCTGTGCTGGCTTCGACTTTAGGCTTCTCTGTGCTCAGGGAGCCTCCTGTGGCGCCGGGATTGCTTGACCAAGAGGACGGGGCCGAAGGCAGCGATGATTCCAAGTGTCACCTCGTTCTGGTAAGGCATTGCAAGAGGCCGTGACCACAGCTGCGCCTCAGCTGCTGCCAGCCGATGGATCATGGCTCAGGTCCCTTTCGGATTCCGGGATCAGAATAGTTTCCTCGTGGCACAGGTATTTCTGCTGGATGACCGCTGGGCATGCTCTGGAAGGTGAGGGAACCCTGTGCCAGACAACAGAGTTAGTTGGCTTGCTGCCCTCTGTGAGGTGTGGACCGCCTTGTCTCTGAGGCAGCGCGTCCAGAGTCTGCCGACTTAGTTCCGATCTGAGCGCTTGTCGGCTGACGACACCGCAGCAACTCGTGGTAGCAGGATCGGCATGGAAACTGCTGAACACGACTGGAGCCATGCTGGATCTCTCGTTTTTGGATGCGTCCTTCAACGGCATTATTTCCACTGCTCTACCAACCAGGCTGCAGCGGCTTCTGTGTGGGCGGCTGCACTCGGTCGAGAGGCTTCGGAATCTATGAGTTGCGAGCGATTCGGAGACTGACAGGGTCGAGAGAAACTTCGGCCGTTGCATCCCTTCATCGAGACGGAAGCAGGCTCTTGCGAACTTCCTGGAGAGGCTGCAGACGCTGCAACGGCTGTGTGGAACGCGCTTGATAATGAAAGTGTGATAAGCCCGATAGCAATCCTCCTGCGAGGCTTTCCGCCAGATGCGAAGCATCACAGCTGTCAGTCGCCAAGAGTGGTGCACCTCCGTCGCTTCAGTGATCTGTTGACTCCGAGGTCTGCTGCGTTGCGGCCAGCCCTTCGCATCCGTCGCGCAGGCCAGGGCCAGGCGCAAAGCTGTGCGGATCGTGCCCACACGAGAGCTCGTACAAGGACGGGAGCGGGAGACCGATGAAGCCAGCTCCTTGTGCTTCCGGTTAGCAACAGTTGCGTCTTCTACAGACCCAGGAGCAGCTGTTCACCCACATCTTTGATGGTCATGTGGTCACTTGGCAGCACAAGCTGGAGACCCATTTGCGCAAGCCAATTTCATAAAGCGTGGATGGCACGCCAGCATGCAAACATGCCGCCGTGTGTGCCAGGCAGGTGTCATTTTGGACTTGGCTGCCGGCGCAGATGCGGAGGCTTCGCTGGACGACCAGAAAGCTGCTCAAAGTTACCCTGGTGTGCCTCTTTACATGCTGCATACCTGCTTGGAAGAGGCGCCAGGGCCCGCCATCCATCGAGGCGACGTTGGTTGCTGCAGGCGGCTGTGGTCCACGACTCTGGAAAATTGTGAGCTGATCCAATGCTGTCTGCCCTTCGAAGGTGGACTCCGCTGGCGGCTGCTGCAGAGATTTCAGGTCGACGCAAGCAAGGTGCAGGTCAGTGGCAGCCGGCGACAAAAGTCCTTCTGCGAGTTCGACTTCAGTTGTTGTTTCGGAGCTCTGCATGCCAGTTATTGCGGGCCTGCTCTTGGCCGCAAAGGCAAATGACAGAGCCTCAGATTCTTGCCGAATCTTCGGAAGCTTGTTAAGCACCCCTGAATCTATCGCAGACTGGTCGTGGAAGTACACGGGCCTCACCCCTCTCTGAGCGCTCCCCAAAGGTAGACCGGAAATGTCCGGGGCCCTGTGGATGGACTCCGCTGATGCGCGCGGCGCGTGATCCTCGAACTTGGCGAGAGGTCGCTAAAAGCAGACAAGCAGTCCATAGTTGTATCTTTGTATGTCATACTAACGACGAGCAACTGTCAGCACAAATTCAGCGCATGGCATACACACATGTCTATATACATACATATATATATATACATACACATGATCACACATATATGTACATACATACATATATGCATATAGTAGATATAGACGTAGCTGCAACGACATGTCGTTCTAAAATGTGAAGCATATACATACGTACATACATACATACATACATACATACATAGATACACACATACATACATACATACATACATACATATATACATACATACATATATACATACGTGTATATCTATAAATATATACGCACATGTTTATATGTGTACATATATATATATACATGTGTGTATATACATGTATGTATATCCGCACATACATTTATGCATGCATGCATGCATGCATAAATACATGTAGAAACATCGATCGATAGATAGAGAGAGAGAGAGAGAGAGACTGTGTTTGTGTGCGTGCTCAATACACGCATTATAGTGCAGCCGTGTACTGTACATATACTAAGGGGATGCGGAGCAAGTGCTGCAACAACGCCGGCGGCCAAGCCTGCATGGAATTGTGCCCAGTGAAAAAACTCCGGTTTTGGACTTAGGAGCTTTGGAGTTTGCTTGCGAGCCTTGGGTTCAGGGGGTTTCAGGGAGTTCAGGGTGTCCGACGAGGCTGCAGCTTCTCATGCGAGCCGGTGCCGATGTTCGGATTCGGTCAGGATCCAAGCCACAGGAATCAGCTTCAAACATTGGTTGGTAAACGTGCATGTACCTGTTTCTTGCCGGCTGCTTGCGGTCGTTGCATGTTCTGCCCCTATTGCTGAGGATGTTGAGTGTTTGTTATTTTGGTGTTCTGCCTCCTGCAAAGTATGTACGCATGCCCGGCATGCAGAAGGGTCGTCTCGTCAAACCATTCCGGATGGTCACCAGGCATGAAAATGGGAATACTGCCCTGGAGATGGGCGACAAGGCAGGACGATGGCCGGGCAAGCCCGAAGGTCTGCTGGAGCACTGATCCATGCAGCTGTAGGCGACTGCTCGCATCATCCGTGAGGTTGGGAAGCTCTTGTGTGCGTGTACTTGCTGGCTTCTCACAGCATGCATGTGTGTGCGTGTGCGCGTGCACCTCCGCCTATGTGTGCGTGTGTGTTGGAGCCAGCGCAGGCACGGGATGCCCGTACACTTGCTGCCGAGTTGGCTTTGCAAGCTGCCCCAGACAGTCGGCAAAGTGATCCCCGAGGCAGGGCAAGCCACAGCTCTTGTACTCCGTGCCTCCGTGCGCCAGCAATACTGTGCATCTCGAGGCCGGGTCCCCCGCCTTGCAACTGGATCAAGGCCTGATGGCCGCCAAGACTGGAAAGTGTTATGGGAACTAGTTCGAAATGGGTTTCAAGCGAGTGAAGCCGGAATGAAAGGAATGCTCTCGCTTTGGCTCATGCTGGCCGTGCCGCCGCGGACTCAATAAACTCATAGCCAGCTCAAGTTGCAGAAAAAGATCTTACTTTTTATCCTGACACTCTTGTGATGAACGATCGACTTGCCATCGCAAGGCCACGTCAAAGGCGACGGCAAAAGCCGCTGGTCGAGGCTATCCGAAAACGACAACGTGACGGTTTAGCGTTTTCAACCCGTGGTAGACCGGGAGGGCTTGGGTTTTTTAACTTCGAAGTCTCGACATAGAACCTAAACCAATCTAGAAATTCAACCAAGAGTGACCGAATCATAAAGATGGATGAGATAATATTTATTGAATCATTAATTAGGATATCCAGAAATAGGGTATATTTCATTTCGCTATATATATGTAATAAATATTAGTAGTTGATCTAAAATTCCTTGAAACATAATTTCTATAAAAAATCATATTTGATCTATATTGATATTTATTTGAATAGGTAGATATATAAATTCGAATATTTGATATATATTTTTCAGAATTATATAGAAAGAATAATATTATTTTCATTCTCCGAAAAATCTATATATAATTAATAGATAATAAGATTGATTTATTTAGATTTCAATTTAAATTCATCTAATTTATATATTAGATTTTTAGAATAAAAATTATTTATAGATTCGAGGGAATTGATTTTCCAAGATTTAATTTATTAATTTTCTCCTTAAATCATTATTGAATAATTATTAGATAGATGAAATTTATTCTTAGTTTAAATATTTATAATATTTTCATATTTAAAGCAAGATTAATTTTAGAAGAGAAACATCGCTCCCCCAGATTCAAATATAATTTATCGATCAAAAATTCGCAATCATATATATATACCACCTATAGAATCCGGCATTTTAGATAATATTTCGAAAGAATCTGATAATAGCGCCGAAATATATGAAAAAAAAAAAAATCAAATAAATCGATATTATTTAAATATTCAATAAAATAAATGCGGCCCGCGACGGAAATTCGTCGAATATTTAGTGCTGCAGCCATTTCGATGGGGCCACAAATATTTAGAAGCTTTAGAGAATCCTAAATCGGGCTTGCAAGAAGTCGCAGAAGGCGGAGCCGGAAAAGCTAGGTTACGCATAAGCTAATTTATAAGAATATTTTTCATTCAAAATATAAATATGAATATAAATATTATTTTAAAAAAATAAATAATCGATCACTTAGATTCTTCTCTCGAAAATTTCATTTTTGGAAATAGATTTTCCATCCAAAAGAAATCGAATCGAAATCTAAATCCTAAAGATCGAAAATTAATTTTACAGATCTAAAGGTAGAATATAATAGAATTATACAGACCTCTCCCTTTTTGAAATATAATATAGAATAGAAATTTAAAAATCAGATTTCGATCTAGATTTTTTCCAGAATATCCTACGATCGAAAATCGCACCGAAATTATTTTTAATAAATTTTCAAATGTATCTAGAATTATTTCAATTTAGCTAGAACCCGTGGCTTCTACCGATATTTCAAGTGTGAAGTCCTCATCACCGATAAAATCGAAATAAACTAAATCTACTATAAAGATTCTATTTTTCTTTCAAATTCACAGATTCCTGAGCATTAAACGAAACCCTAAGATTTGGGCAGCGATTGCAATATTTTTTTTACACTTACCTTATGCGATCCAATATGTCTATCGTGATCAAAATATATATCTTCAAATTCAGCATTATATATATATATATAATATTTTGTAATTGCTAACGAAATAAGTTATCCTGATATCAACTCAATGTATATATATATATATATATCAAAAAGCAAGCCATGCCTAATCGGCCTAATCCTGAAAAAATTCACACAGGGTCTCGAGTATGGCAACTGCTGATACGTAGCATGCTTATCTGCGTCGAGCCCCCATTCTTGTCACACAAGACAGAGAGTCTGAACATGTCTGAACCAACACCATAACCTCCTTGGCTTCCCACAGCTATATCAGTATCCTAAGCTTGAAGGCGCCTGATTTCACCTTGTTCCCTGAATGGGTAGCTTTGCTGAGTTGAAGTCAAGAGATGACCATGTAACGCGAGGGATTGAGATGCAAATGACTTGCACAAACTTCCGCTACTGGTCAAGTCGCAATGATGTTCGCAAACATTTTCTCCATCGCGAGCCTCTCACTTGTACACAAAAATGTCGATGTGATGCTTCTGGGCAGCCTCCCTCAGAAGCTTCACAAGCCTCAGACTGCACTCGGCATTTGATGAGGGTGCAGCTGTTGCAGCCCTGAGCTGGTTGCTTGTCCATCGCTCCAGCTCCGGAGGCCTGGCAAAACAACTACGTCTTACGGTCTTCCAAATCCTGCAGAGCACCAGGAACTCCCAAGCCTGCATGTGAACAGATGCTCCCTGCGTGGCGGCGTGGCTCGCCAAAGCCTCGGCAGGGATGCACGCATCGCAAACACACACACACACACAGCGAAGAGCCGTGACGGTGTTGTGTCAGACTTGAGGCGACAGTCAAATGTCAGCTCTGCCAGTTCTGGTTGCGTTGTGAACCAAGAAACGGAGCACTCAGAACTGATGGTAATTCAAGCATGCAAGCAGGCCTACCCGGCCTACCCTGTGACACTTTGGAAGCCCATGATCGAATCCGGGCGGGCCGCCTCCAAGGCTTCTTCCAGAGCCTCCAAGCGCAATGGGCCGCCTTTGGAACCGCTCCTGCTTCCCTGAAGCACGATCCTCAGAGATTTCTCCAGCTCTACTGCCGAGTTAGACATCGGCCTGTGCCATTTACATCCGTATCTGAGCATCGCATCTCACCGCGGCATGTAAGGCCGCAGCAAGTTGGCAACCTCCACCAGCGGGCTCACCTGAACCTCTGCGATGAAAGGACACGTCGACCGAGTCTCAGGGCTACCTGGGTCCCCTGCGAACTGTGCGGCCCCAAGCCGGAACCGATTCTCGACAGACTCCAACTTACGGTCTCGGTGCCACCTCGGTCAAGGAGCTCGACTCAAGGGGACCCGGCGTCCGCTTCGAGAGAAGGCGAGGCTTTCACTCGAAATACTGCCGTGAAGGCACGCTTCCCCAAGTCTTCTTTATGGCCTTGGCACGGTGCAACAGCATGAAATCCTGCTTCCTGAACTCCTCCATACGAGTGCATTGTCAACTGCACTAAGTTGCCCCGACTCAGTTGCGCACCTGGAAATAACCGCGTCCTGCAAGCATCAAGTGTTGCACCGCGAGCACAACTTCCCTGCACTTGATGCCGCAAACGACCAGCGTGCTCACCCGTCGCAGAGAGACAGCACAGCCACATGTTGCTCATGCCATTCTTTTGATTGTAGCAACATCGACACTCATGCTCGTTGGTTTTGCTTGCTGACGATTTATGAACAGCCCTGTCGTCCTCCGTTCCCTTGATCATTGCAAAGGTGTGCGATCACTTTGCGACCGCTGCTCTGAGAGGCCTGCTCCAGGTGCAAGTACGGGGAGCTTATCCCGAGGAGTAATTTTCGCGATCTGCGGCCAGTTCAGTGCCTGCTCTTCACTTTGCAGGATGCGGGTTAGGGGGTTTCGCACATGATGCTCCCGAGTGCCGATATCTGTGTCGGACATCCGCTGCCTCGACATTGCATGAGGACTGGTAGAGTATATAACAGCATATAGTATATACAGTGGAAAAGATCTAGTACACACTGTCGGACCAATGTACAAACTATAACACTTGATTGATAAACACTAGGTCACCAGGTCGTCGCACATTATTTAAAGTAGTCTACTGTTGAACATGTAACATGTCACATACAACATGTAACACATAATGTATGGCAACCAATGTACATCAACACAGCATATAATACATGATATCTGGTATCCGATATGTAAAATATAATATGCCATATATACCACATACTTCCATACACCACCAGGCCATACAGCATTGTATGCACCAATATTCTATGTGACGTACAGCATCTTGCATGTCATACACGCCATACTCCGTACAGTATATGCTACACAACGCACCCAAAACCCAAAACCGACATCGGAAGGATGAAGACTCTCATCCTGGCCTTCGCCGCCTCGCCTGTAGTGAAATGCAGCCGGCCTTTCTTGAAAGCCTCAGGAAAGCCCGGAAAACCGAATGACCCTTCATAACAGATATACCTTAACTGATAGCACTGAGCCTCCTTCAGTTTAAGGTGTATTCCGAATTCCGCAATCAAGCGGAAAAGACTGGGCTTGCACTGTCTGATTCGAGGGGCTCAGAGGAGGCCCGTGAGATGATCCTGCTGAGAACCCGAAAGCTCGATGTGACGAAAGTCAAGGCTACCACACACGGATGGCGGATCGAATGAAGCTTAGATTCTAGGCTTAGATGCCCATGCGATTCGAGAAATCTCATATGAGAAGTCTGAGGGCTCAGGCACTGGCATCCTGGCTCTGGCTGAGGCCTTGGTCCGGCCGGGCGCTCTTTTTGGTGTCGAGCTGCTCGAGCTCGAGGGCAGCCCATTGGTCATCGGTCTCGTTCAGGCCCGGAAAAAACTGGAAGTCCGTTTCTGCAGGGTCCAGCAGAGCGCGGCGCAAGGCCTCCAGCACCTTCGGGGAGACCAGTCCAGACTCAGAGAGCTGCTCCCAGTCTGAGCTGATGAGCAGTTGCTGAAGGCGCTGCTCCTGCTCCGCGAGGCTCTCGGGGACTTCTGTTTCATGCCGTGTGGGCAGGAGGACCGTGGGATGATGCTCGTAGCTGCGCCGGCGCACCCGGCGGATTCGAGCTTCCAAGTCTGTCACAGTACAAGGCGCTGGTGACTCAACTGTCGGGCCCATACATACAACAGGCATATCGTGATATGCCCTGTCATCTGTGGCGTGCAACCCGGTGATGAGGCACCACGGTTGGAACTCCCAATGCAGACCTCCACTCCAGGACAGTTTCGCGGTCAGCTGCTGAATAATCCTCTCGCTTGTTCGGGAGATGTCCCACCCCCAAGCACAAGTTTCTACGAAGTCGGACTCCTCACATGCCAGCCGGCACAAAACAGTACGAATGGCAAAGGGGAGGCATGAACACTCCGGTGCTTCTGCTTCGGGAGCGAGGTATGCTGCCGCAACTGGTATCCGAGCTGTTCGTTCCACCAGCTGCCGTGCCCTCCTTGGCTGAGCTTAGCTTGCCACTTCTAGCCGTCTTCGGAGAGAAGCCCCGTGACCTACGACCCTCCACTCTTACCTGCCTTGAAACGTTAGGAAACACTTGCAAGGTATGGCATGCAAGAACAGCGACTGAAAAAGGTCGAGGTGAGCTCGTTGCACTGGATTGCAGGGAGACTTCCAAACCAGCACCGCGACTTTGTTGGTGCTGTTGGCCACGATGTCCCTGTCACCTGGCTCTTTGCTCGAGCTCGCTGCTTGTTCAACCAAGCGGCTAAGTGCTCCTGCCTGCCAGGCCGACGAGGCGTCTTTCAGCTTTGGAAACCGCCAAGTCAGCCAGCTTGGCCTGCAGGCCAAGCCATAACAAAAAGAACCAGGCATCCCAACAAGCATTAAGTACTGGAGTCCCTTGGCGGCCTTCTGCCGTGCAGCTGCTGAACCGGCCACCATGAGGAGAGGTCCGGCGGTGGCACAATGTTAGTGACAAGTTGATCAAGATGTAGCAGACGAAGCTAACGGCTGTCTCTGAAGTCTGTGTGTCGGCTACGCTGCCTACTGCCTGAAATCAGCAGCAGCGTTTGTATAAATCGGGCCAGGCAACCATGACAAAGTTTCATACTCATGCTGCAAAGCTTTACATTTCGGAAGCATTCTGTCACTGTTGCAAGCATTTTCCGGCAAAGGAAAGATCGTCCAGGCCTATCATTTGGTTCGCAGAAAGGACACAGGCACGGGGCTCTGCCAGGCCATCTGATTTTAAACTCGGCTACACTTGTGTCACCTCTGCTGAAGCACTTCGTGGCCGGTGGCAGAGAGCCAGGCTGCCCCCCCGTTGAAAGACACGCTTGAAGCGGGGCCCCTCATCCAGACATTGGAAGGGCATCCATCTTCCCAACAAGCCACAGTCCACAATCGGTGCACCACGCTTCAACATCCGAGAATTTCTGCCATGCTGCAAGTTTACTGGTGGCTCGTCGCCTCATCTCTCACCACCATGTCTTGGCCTTGATGGACGCCTATGCCCGGGTGAGGTCCACAAAGAAAAGAGTCAAAGCTTCTGCATGCTAGATGGGCAAGATTGCAGTTGATAGATCAACCTTGATGACACACCAGGCGGCCTCAACATCGCACTCGCACGACTTGTAAACGAAGATATACCTGATCAGTGCACTCCTATGTACTCATCAAGCTACGTCCGCTACCTGCTTGCAGGAGGGTGCATCAGGAGGCATGGCACTCCAGCTGGCCAAGCCAAGGTCGACAAGCGCCAGTACCTCGTAGGGAAGCCACAACAAGGCCCTGTTACAAATTCCAGGAACACAACTTTCACAGTGGGGCGTGCCAGCGGGCAGGGGCGTTCCAGAACCACCTCGGAAGAGGGCAAGTCGCCAAGACGAGAAGACACAAAGCGGTGAAACCGGGACAGCGCAGTTGAAGAAACCGGGCAAGCAGGCCCGGCAAACCCAGCGGAGCTCTAAGACTGCTGCTGCCACATAATCTTTTGCTGCAAGTGGGAGAAGGTCTGCTTGATCTGCAAGGCAACTCATGGATCAACTCATCGGCAGCAGCAGAAGGCTCTAGTGCTGCCTTGCCTCACCGCCAGGCACCTGCAACTGGCTGAGTCTCTTGAGCTACCGCAGATTGTCAGGCAGATAGATGTGTCGACAGCTGTTTTCTTCTTCCGACTTCCAAGACTCTTCAACTCTGCTACATGAGGTGCACAGTTGATCACAGATGTCCATGCATGCCTGAGAGCGATTGGCCCACCAAATGTGGGCTTCTGGCGGCACCGGATAGGAACCTGAAAAAAACAAAGTGCCTGTATTCGTTTTTTATACCCAGATTTATATGCCTGCCGGTGGAGTCTCGATGATTACGACTGAGGCAGCAGCCGACTCGAAGCTGGTCACGGGCGCTCGTCTTCCTGATGCACTCAATCTTTGGTGAAAAGCACTGGCCGTTTGTTCTCATGCCGTCAATCGGAGCGAGCGAGATAGGGTGGGTGGGTAGGTGAGTAGGTGGGGGGTAGGTAGGTAGGTAGGCAGGCAGGCAGGCAGGCAGGCAGGGAGGTAGGTAGGTAGGCAGGTAGGCAGGTAGGTAGGTAGGCAGGTAGGCAGGTAGGCAGGTAGGCA